CAATCGAATCGACTGAAGACTATCCACGCCCAGACTGAAGATGTCGGTGGTTGCACCCAAGGTAGAGGCATCAATACCGGGAGCGACCTCCAGTAGCTGCTCACGGAGGAATGCTTCCAGCTCGGCCCCCTCCAGTACCTGGTCACCACTCGCATCCTCGGCCTCGTAGATCTGGTCAATTTGGTCTTGATAATCGCGATAAAAGGCGGCACGAATGACCGTGCCTTTGTCTGTCTTTCGATAGGGCGCATCTGCGGGCAGAACATGGATCATATCCCGGGAGATATAGGCATAAGCCGGCAATTCCGCATTGCAGCGCTCGATGGCCGGGAAGACCGCCTCAATCAGTTGGTCATCTGTCTGGCACCGGCTACTGGTTGCTGGGATGAGAAACAATCCGAGACGAGGCTTGTTGGCCCCAAAGGCAATCGCTTCGGCAACGTTGGGATCGTTACGTGCCACGCCCTCGATAATGAGTGGATTTGCCTTCTCGCCGTTCTCCAGAACCAGGGTATCGTCCAAGCGGGCGTAGTAGCGCCACGCGTTGGGCTTAGTCGGGTGCTTCTCGAAGAGATCCTTAGTTGCATATGAGTTGTCGGGCCGGTTGCTGGCGACCTTAGAGGGCCAGCCTTCCAAGACGCACAGCTCGTAAATCCCCGACATATGTTCCTCCCAGCGCAAGTATGGCAACAAGGTTGGACCCGGGCGAACATAGTCCCAGTCCAGATCATCCCGCTCGCGGAAGGAAGTCATCAGTTGACCGGTCTCGGTGGTTCCGTAGTGGGAGACCAAACGCACTCCGTTCTGCACCAGTTTATCTCCAATGGGTTTCGGGCAGGACGAGCCTCCAAACATGACCAGCTCCAGACGGGCCATCATGTGCAGGCCCTCGTCGGATTCGGACAACAACTTCAGGGCATAAGGGACTGCATACAGGATCTCAATCTCTTGGTGGTTCTTGAGAGTTGCCAGTAGATGCGGGGCTGTCAGAGGCAGATTCGCATTGTAAAGGTAGATCAACTTCTGTGAGTGTATAGCTCGGAAGAGACAGCTGATGCCGTGCGCGTGAAATAGCGGTAGCGTGATGAACCCCCGGAGGCCGAAGTTGTTGGCATAGTTCTTCAAGGCTCCGGCATGCGTCTGATAGATGGGCTTCGGATGGCCGGTGGAGCCGCTTGAGTGGATAATCCAGCAGATGTGCTTTGCGTCTACGCTGCCATCCATCTGGGCTGGCGGCAAGGAGAGGGTGTCTGCGCCGGGGAAATCGTAGTTCTCACTCGCCAATACCGGCTGCTGTACAATGGCTGTCCGTGAAGCCACTCTCTCCCCTACCGCCTGGAAGCTGGGATATGTGATGAGAAAGGCAGCCTTGGTGTTTTCGATCAGGCTGACATAGGCATCTTCGGCGATGCGCGTCGATAGCAGAAGAACGGTGTGACCGAGACGGGAAATGGCCAGCAAGGTGATCATGTACTCAAAGTCGGAGGGACCTAGCAATCCTACAACCTGTACGGGCTCGTCTGAAGACTGTCGCTGTGGGATGACCTTTGAATAGTGGACCGACGCGGCTTCCACCAGGGTGTCCAACTGTTGGCAGGATTAGTTAGTATTTTCCCTGCCTTAGTGAATGGTTACGGAGGTATTCTCACCTGTTTGGGGGTGTAGTATGTGTACTCAGTACCCGACAATGGGTAAGCGACAATAGGCTCGTTGCCATGACGTCCCTTGGCTCGAGCTTGTATAAGGTGGTTGATCGTGTGAATGGTTTCCTCTGCAGGTTCCGAATCAAGCTCATCTACGGACGTTGCGGGTGACGATGCACTCAGTCCATTAGGGGAAGAGAGCGACGAAGGAATGGGAGAAACTGCCACGGATGCCATCTTGCAATGCACAGTGGCGTACGGGAGGAAGGAAAAGTGAGATGATCGCTAGTGAGGAGAAACCCATAGGGGGGGTTTCCTTGAAGTTTATGAGATGCCGGCCACAGGGAAGACTTACCCCAGCATGCTCGTGTGTCCGGACTCCGCATCCTTCGGATTACTTTACGGGCATTGACCAGAATGCCGATTGGAAGATGTATTGGACATGATGCAGATATGCCCTCCATGCCGCATTTCCGTCGGTATTTCCGACATTTCCGCCACGTCTTTTCTCCATCGGCGGAAAAGTCTCGTGCGGGGGAAGGGAAGAACTGGAGGCGCCAGAAGCCATTCTCTTCATGGCATTTGCGCTATCTATTCGCTTTCTCTGTTGACCATTTGATACGTCGGATTATATCTGGCGAAAATACCCCTCTGCTTGTCACGGGTGGACAATTACATCACCGGCTGTGACTCGAGCCGTCTCTGCTCTGTAGGACCTACGCCATGGTAGATTGGCTAGGAAGAACATTCAAAGCAGCAGTAGACGAAATGATGTTTAAGAAATCCAATTCTAATTGCTGCCAGTAAAAGTCGATGATTCTAGCTCGGGATCATAATGTACAAACGAAACCAGCCGCGACAACACCGCAAACTCCAGCTTCAACTTGACGGTATAGAAAAAGGTCTTCAACGAGGTCTGCAAGATGAACAAGTCCAAATATTCCAAGGTTAACAGCGAGATGTCCATCAAGATAATCGCTGTGTTGATAGCCAGCAGCTGCTCCATGATATTTGTCCTCCGCTTGCTCCGGTGTGGGTAGAGATAGAGCAGCCGAAACGTCTGCAGGATGAAGATCGTCGAAATGATCACCTCCTGCACGAAGAAGCCCGTGAGCTGTACCTTGGCCCAGATGTTATAGACATATGCGAATCGAACCCCGCCGTAGACGGCACCATAAGACAAGATGATCTGCGGAATCTGCAGGATGATGGCGTCAAAGATGATCATGTAGAGGACGAAGCGGAGAATAGTTCGATTCGACAAGATGAGATGAAGTCGCGAATATAGTACGACAGACTGTCCGGTGACCATGACAGCCCAGCCAAACGTTGATAGCGTCACTGGAATCCATAGCGGCGCCAGCTGGAAGTACTTCAACAGCAGTCCGATGGCTTGCGGGATGATGCCAAGCCCGGTTGAAACAAGTAGACTCCAGAAGTACAGTCCCCCATAGACGTGGAACGTGAGAAAGACGAGGATAATAAGTTCGATTGAGCTGTACAACGCACAAGCTAACAAGCTGGCTAGCACCGCCTGGACAGCCAGGCTGTTGCCCGTATAGCCCCCGGCGATGCCCTCAACGGGGGCCGAGTAATTGGCCATCTTCCCTGGGGAGCGACACCGTCATCCAGGCACATTTTAAGAAGCGACTTCCCCCTGAGATATATGCCATGTGCTGATCGACATAGGAACGAAGTCGGGGGGGATGAAGATGTTCCGGCACTCGGATCCGTTCACCTCGCCTGACACATGTTCCATGGATCGTGCTACGTTGAACCCCGGATCATCCGCCTGAGCGACCAACCAGCCTCATGCACCGCGCGACTGAAAGCTGGGGTTGGAACCGTTAGCCAGTCATTTTAGATGGGCGTGCTAAAGCCTACCACTGCCAGGGATCTGGCCGGCTGTTTAAGGTGCTGACGCGTGGGTGGCCGGCTAGTTGCATCGGGTTATGCAAACTTATCAAAAAACACTGAATTCTATTTCTAAAGTACGTTGCGATCGGCTATACAGTAAACTTAACCTTGTTACTGGGGCCTGCAGCCAGTGCAGTCTGGCGCACCGCCTCCTCACCGACTTCCTCAAAGATGTCATAGCCCCAATGCCCCGGGAAGTTGAAGCGTTTGTGGCGTTCCAGCGAGTTCAACTGCGCAAAAGCCCCCTCTGGCAATGCCCGGACTCGCAAATTAGCTGCAATTCGAGCGGGGGTAACACTCTTGGATAGCACGACAGTGCCACGCTGCACCCCCCAGCTGGCCAACAGTGGTCCGGGGTCCAAGCTTAGCTCGCCCGCCACGCGGTGCACGAGTGGATCGTCGACGGTGCGCGGCTCACCAGTCTGGTTATTGCCGAGCGGCGAGTAGGCCTCGATGAGAATGCCTTTGCTCTGGCAGAATTGCAGCAGGTCCGGCTGTTGCAGGTAAGGATGGGCTTCAATCTGGTTGACGGCGGGCACAACGGAAACTTGGCCGAGCAGCTCTTCCAACCGGCGGATGTTGAAGTTGGACACGCCAATGGCGCGTACCTTGCCGGTCGCTAGCAATTTCTCCATGGCGCGGTAGGTGGTGATGTAGTCGATGTTGGCCAAGTCGAACACTCCATCGTCGTTGAGAGGAAACCATTTGTCGCCACCCTTGAAGGCACTGTACAAGGGGTCAATGCTTAGTCTCCACCAGACGATCCCGGATGATGAGTAGACAATCACTTACCAGGGCCAGTGCATGAGATAGAGATCCAGGTAGGCGACGCCCAGATCTTGCAGGGTCTTGTCGAGGGCTGGCTCCACGTCCTCCGGGGCGTGCTTGGTGTTCCACAGCTTGCCAGTGATGAAGATCTCTTCGCGGGGCACCCCGGACTTGCGAATACCATTGCCGACTTCGGTCTCATTGCGATAGATGGCAGCGCAATCAATGTGGCGGTAACCCTCCCTGAGGGCCACTTCGACGGCGTTTTCTACCTCAAGGGGCTTCGCTTGCCAGGTGCCGAATCCCACAGCAGGGATTTTGGCCCCGGTGTTGATGGTGAAGTGCGATGGTAAAGACATGATATACGACAATGTTTTCTATATTTTTAAACAAGAGGAATATAGCAGATGGGTCTGATGGTGGTGATGATTGATATAGTCAAAGCAGCACAACAAGTGGGTCGGATATCCGACAGACCAGCGGCGGATAAAGGAAGAACTTTCGGAGATGATTGCTGGATCCCTCAGATGCATGCAATTCATTCATTATCATTCTCATGATCCACTCACTATTCCTTCTACCCCGCCAAACACCCCCGAGTCTCATCGCCGCAACGCAATGCCGTTCCACAACAAGCCCGCCTTCGATGACCTGCCCCTCAATAAGACGGGCCCACCCGGTAATGCATGGGGATTATTTGGACCCAACGACCAGTGTGGCATGTTGAATCTCCTCACCCCCGACCGAACCTGTGCCGCCGCGAGCGAAATCCGCGATGGGGTTCGCATCTCCACCGACTGGCCGTTGGATCGCATTTCCACGCCCGCCTTCGATCGCATCCCGTTCACCCAGACCATCTCCAACATCGCCCCCACCTCTGTCAACGATGACATCCTGCACTTCAACACCCAGGCCAGCTCGCAGTGGGACGGGTTGCGGCATTTTGGCTACCAGAAACAGCGACTGTATTTCAACGGCCGTACCCTCGACGACATTCTGACCACCAAAGTCAATGGGATTCACGGTGCGTATTTCCATCCGAAGATCATGATCCCCGGATAGGTTTGTTCTGACGGTTCGTGCAGCATGGGTGGAAACCGGTGGCATCATCGGACGCGGTGTCCTGTTAGATTATGTCGCTTGGGCGGAGGCCAACCATGTCCCCGTGAAGCCTTTCACGACCCAGTCAATCACAGTCGCTGTTCTTGAGGAAGTCGCCCAGGCCCAGGGTACAGAATTGAGGCCTGGTGATATCCTGTTCATCCGAGCAGGCTGGGGACGGGGATATGCAGAACTATCTCAAGACGAAATCTCTACGCTGGCCGAGATCCCCACACCTCCAGCTATCGGACTCGAGTCCTCGGAGGCCACCCTCCGGTGGCTCTGGGACAAGGAGTTTGCCGCTGTCGCTAGTGACACCCCGAGCCTTGAGGCCTGGCCGTGCCAGGACTCCAAGTACTGGCTACATGAGTGGCTGCTGGCCGGCTGGGGGCTTCCGATCGGGGAGATGTTCGATTTGGAGCAGTTGAGTGTTGAGTGTCGCAAGAGGCAGCGCTGGTCATTCTTCTTCACCAGCGTTCCATTAAAGGTGCGTTATATTGCCGATTGTGATCTGTTTATCCGTAATCATTAATATCCTGCTCTCCAACTAGGTCCCCGGAGGAGTGGCTAGCCCGCCAAATGGAGTTGCCATCTTGTAGCGCTGAGCATTAACCATATGACCAGCTGGTCTGGCCAAAACATTGCAAACCTAGACTACCCATCATCCTGATTTGCATGCTGGAATCTTGGCGATATCATGCAGGCCGGGGCAATAGGAGATTGATGAACATGAAGAACACCGTGGGAGAAGACGACTCTAGAAGAACACGTGCCGAGGAAGTGTAATATAGAAAGCGTCCAGTAGAAATAACATCTGACTAGGGATTCGACCCTAAACCTATAGCGATGGTGATACCTGCATGGTGTCTTCGATTGGTATCTGCAATATCCTAGCCATAACTAACGGCCACAATACAGCGCCAGCCAAGTCAGGTCAGCCCAAGCCCTATTACGGAATGAGCTATTCGAGTCATCGTGTTGAATCTTAGCTTTATCCTCACATGACGTAAAGAGAGGATATGGGACAGGCTACTGACATAAAATCGTGCCATTCATCTGACCCTGTCGGGAAAGAGTTACATACCTCGAGCTGGTGTTACAGCAGCAGGAAGCGGATATACAACGGAAATGTCGGATAGCTTTGGAATATTGAGCGATAATAATGCCAGGTAAACTTTCAAATACCATGTCGTGGCCCAGTCGGGTGGCAAGCGAGTTAAGCTGCCGACCGCTAGGGTAGAAACGGAAGCACGAAATGCAACCACTAGGGTATACAACGGTAGAACAGCTAAATGCCCGGCAACTGATTTATAGATCAGGATTACCTTGCACTTGCCTACGCGACACTGTTGATTGAAGAAGTAGAGATGATGTGAAGACTGATACATTCCAGGCACTCAATGGCCTAAGCATTGGAGACAGTATCTAAGCATAGTCGAAGCATTCGGACC